CCATGGGTCTTTCTACTTCTCTCTTACAATATGCAACTCTACTTGACCTTCATATGCCTTGATTTATAATGAACCTCTCAACGGGTATTTAAAAGAGTTTTCTCATCTCTTGGATTCATGTATAACTTCTTCTTTGACTTGCATTATCAATTGTAATTCTCTTTCAATTAAAATTTAATTGAAATTATAATTGATTCTCTCAAATCAAATTCAATCTTCAATCTTCAATCAAAGTCCAACTAAGATTTCCTGAAATACAAGGTTATTCCCAACAATCTCCACATTAGGCTCGTGTGAAGCCACATTCGAAAACGTCAATCCTTCCATGCAACTTTTTGTTACAAATTTGTAGAACTCTAGAGAATAAACACTTTTGAGAAATCACCATAAGTCCCATCTCCCAAAGGGCACAGAAGTGATTATCGCTCACATTGGTAATTGATTCTTTCAAATCAAATTCTATCCTCAATCCAAGTCTAGCTAAGATTTCCTAAAATACAAGGTTATTCCCAACAATCTCCGCATTAAGATTGTGTAAAGCCATATTTAGAAACGTCAATCCTTCCTTGTAACTTTTTGTTGTAAATTTGTAAAACTATCGAGAATAAACACTTATGAGAAATCACCTTAGGTCCCCTCTCCCAAAGGGCACTGAAGCAATTATCGCTCGCATTGATGTCAAGCCTTCTAATAGCTTGACGTTAAACTCCATTGCTACACACTCTAAACCTGACTTCGGCTTGTTGCAAATTTCTTCTTGACTCATCCACCTGGAGTCAAACCCCCATTTCGGCTGTCTCTTGGAACCTAAGTTTCTCACTAGCTTCTCTTCCTCGTGGTCGTATACCCTCTTAAAGACAAAGCTTTACTTTGAACACCAGTTCTTTTAAACACCTGATACAAGCCATTTTCACACTTTTTCCCAACTAGGATGAGATTCCTACAATCTACTCCTCTATACAATTGGGAGAACCCAAGATTCACTATTCATGCTACAGTAAAATGCTATTTAATGTATCATTATTACTGTAGCAATCATTAAACTGGACAATGTGGGATTTTTAAAAAAAATATTACCATAGCACATGGGAATACTATAGTAGATGCTACTGTAGCGATTCAAAAAATTCAAAAAATATTATAACAGTTAAAACCGGGATTGTTGTAGTGGGAAAAAATATGTCGTACTTTGCACGGTATTCACACTAGTGGTATACTATGATAACTCCTCTATGCACTTGGGTTTGATAGCTCATAGACTCAAGCACCCAATTGATATCAAATCCTTCCTCGTCTTCGATATTAACCAAACAATCTTTAACACCATAATGCTTTCGCTTCTTTCCACCACCGTGACTTTTCCTACACCCGCAACATCACGCATTGTACCACCCTATAGATAGACTCCTGAACTCATTGCACTAGGGAACAAAATAGGCTTGTTTTGGGACATTTATGAGCTGATGTCGTAGAATCTATTATCCAATCGCCACAATAAGTGATGTTCCCGGCAACCATCAACACCTTAACTAGCTAATTTTCTTTCTTTGAAACTGCGAAAGCGTCATCTAGTTGATTTCTTATAATACCCACTGCACACGAAGTTTAGGCTAGCCGATCCCACATCTTTTACTCATTCAACCATTATTACCATTTGAAGCAGTCTTTTTCACGTGATCCTTCCATTGACAAAGAAGCACCGCTTAGTCTGCAAACTTGTCTCATTTGAAGATCTATTCCCTCGTACATCTGCTACCAACTTGGTAGCAAGACCCGACTCATTATTAATACCTTGTCATTACTGAAAGTCATCTATGAGAAGCGCTGCTTTGACCTTGTCTATAGTGATTATCGCCTTCCCTATGGTTAGTGATTTCTTCAGATATTGGTAACCCGCTGGAAGGGAGCTCAGCAAAATTACCACTTTGCTATATTGTCAATCTTTGATCCCCATCGTCACTAACTCAGTCCCTATTCTATTGAAATTGCTTAAATGCTCCAACATTATCTTACCTTCCTTCATATGCAGATCATACAACTTCTGCTTTCAGTACAAGTCGGTGGATGCATTATTGGTCATGTACAACTTCTTGAGTTTCTTCCACATACTAAGTGCAGTCGTCTCGTTGCTTACATAGTACCCAATTATATAAGAGAGAGCGAGTAGAATCGTACTCCACGCCTTTTAATTCATTCTATTCCATTCACCACTTATCATCTTCTTTGGCTTCTTGTCCACCCCTAGCAAAGCTTGATCTACGTCGTGTTAAATTAAGACCGCCTCCATCCTTTTTTGGCCAAAGTCTGAAATTAAACTTTTTAATCTCGATCATCATCACCGAATAAAATTCTGCTTCCATGTTGCAAAGATCACCTTTCTTCGAATAATTAAATCTGACCTAATTGATTCGGTTCTTATACCAATTGTTGGTGCACGACACCCACAACTCGACATTGGTTGTAGCACTCAAACTAGTAATCAATACGGATACATTGCCTACAAAATCGTCACCTAAACCTCAACTAGATCTCTGCCTACAAAATCGTCACCTAAACCTCAACTAGATCTCTTCTTTCTTTGTAGATCAATTGATCATCGAACAATGTAAGAAAACTAAGAAAATTTGTTTGTACAAAGAGCGAGCAATAAGACTGCCAAAAAAAACAAAGAGCACAGAGATAGGATATTTATTTGGTTTAGAAATATATTAAGTCCACAGGAAGAGATTTTCGTCATTTTTTATCCTAGACAATACAATATAATCTATTCTTGTGATCTAGATAGATCCCATAAGAAACCCTCTCTTAATCTCACTGAAAGTTCTCTCATAAACACTCAACAAAATATATCTCACAAATCTTAGATTTCTCCTCTTAGTTTTCTCTACTCCTCTCTTGCATTACGCAACCCTCATTAGTTTTTCTAAGGCTTGATTTACAATGAACCTCCCAAGGGGTAATTAAAGAATATTCCCCTTTCTTGAATTCATGTAGCATTCTTTTTTTTTAAACTTGGATTATCAATTCTAATTCTCTTCCAATTAGAATTTATTTCTAATTACAATTGATTGTTTCTAAACAAATTCAATCATCATCCAAAGTCTAACTAGGATTGTTGGATTTAATCTAATAAATCTATTTGTGGGCACATATGATTAATCAATGTGTATTGCTATCTTTCAGGATAACCCACTAAAGTGATCAATTAAGTTGGGTTAATTTGGTATTTAAATAAGTCATGGGGTTATATGTGCAGATACCAGGTTGTAATTATAATTTATTGAGGGGCTAAATTACAAAAGTACAACATCTATAAATAAGGGGTTATGGTCCCTAACCTAGGGTTACATTCTCTAATTCTCTACACCCCCATCTAGCTAGAGAAATTCGGAT